GGCTTCAGCAGGAACTCGTTGAGGAGGGCGTTGGCCCGAAGGATCGTCCCCACGGTGGGCGTCTCCCCTTGCAAGGCGGACACCGGAAACTGCAAGTCAAAGCGAAGCTGGGCCACGAGCCACTGAAAACTGCCCAGCAGGCGGCCCTAGGAGCGGAAGCCAGGCGACTGCCATGAAATCGACAACCGCGCCTGCACTCTTATCCTTGAGCACCCGGGCCTGCTGAAACTTAGACACCGCATCGGTCGCATGAGCAATCACAAAAGGGCGGCCAACACCAAAAGATCAATGTGCACCTGTTCCCCCACAAAGCGCGGAGGGGGTAACGTTCCAACTCGGCGGCTTCGGGGGGCACGACGCTCAGCACACACATCGCACTTCAACTCCCTGGCTGCCTGCACTGCTGCGGCCGGGGCGCCTGACAAAAGAAGAGCCCTAGCCAGGCGCTTTGGAGGTCGGTGGCCCGTCGCCTCGTGTACTCGCCTCACCGCTTGCCGCACGGCCGGGGTGATCTCGCCCTTGAAGGGTTCCAGGTCGAGGTCGCCATCCGAGTCGTCCTCCTTTTCCATGGTGAACTCTAACCCCTCGGGTTCGGCCGGGTTCGCTCCCTCTGCTGCCAGGGTGTCGTGGTAGAGGACGTCGTAGCAGAGGTCAACTGAGCCAGGCACCGAGGTAGTCAGGTAACAGCTGCTTTCGGCAGCCGCGCGGCCAAACAACCGCGACTCAAAGTCAAACTCGCGCTCAAAAGCCTGCACAAGGTACTTGCCAAAGCCGCTGGCTGTGGTACTGCTCGCTCTCACCGCGTCCTTGTCAAGGAACTGGCTCACCACCGCTTGGCTTGAGGTCAAAAGGCGGTGTCCGGCCAAGGAAAAGCAGAAAACTCCAGCTCGCTGCCGCAGTCGCCGAAGAGCGGGGGCACGCCACGCAGCGGAAGCCGCAGGAAGGCGAAAAACGAAGAGTCTCCCCCCCTTAATTTGTTCTCGCGCGAGGCGTGCCACGAAGTTCAGCAAGGTGAGGTCGGCGAGACGGTGCGGGCGCAACTGGTCGTTGGAGTAGTTCAAGCGAGCCTTGGGCACCCAGGAAGGCGTGGGGGCCGTCAGCACCAAGAAGTAGGGGCGATCGTGCCGAAGAGCGCGAAGAGCACGAAGCCGAGCGTCACGATGGAGAAGGTCCCAACCGGCTTCGGAAGTCCACGGCCCGGCTGCGGTGTGCCCACGGACTCTGGCACACTGACTGATTTTATCAACGGCGCCCACCGCCTCGGCCACCACCAGCGGGATTTCCATGACAAACACCTCGTGCTGCGCGCGCTTGTAGTCGAGAAAGTGGTCGGCCAGCATCGCGTCGTAAACTCGCCGACGGGAGCATGACAACAAAAGCTGCTCACGCCGGTGCCGGTCCCAAGCCTGGGTCACAAGTTGCCTCTGCCCAGGCTTCAGCTTGACATGTGCAAGTGCTCCAGGCACCCAGCTTGGTTCATCCTCGGGTCGGCCTCCTCCTCGTCCGGAAGCGGCTGCGGTACTTGGTCCCAGCCGTCCTCCATCTCCGTGTCGAGGCTGGCCGTGGTGCCCTGCATCTGCATCACGTGCTGGAGCACCTGGGAGAGCATGGCCTGCTGCTGCTGGTTGGCCTGCTCGAGCATGCCTTGGTACCGACGGTCCATCGTCTCCATGAACGACGTGAAGGCACTCATGGTCACGGCTTGGGAGTCGGGCACCGTCGGCACGTTCCGGTGGTTCTCGATGTTGCCGGCGGCCAACGTAACCATAGGAGCCGTGGAGGCCATAGGTCCGGAAGTCGGTGCCGCCGTCGCCGAGGTAAGCCGCGCAGAGCTTCGAGGAAAAGTCTTTGAAGCCAACGGCGAAGGGCTCGAGGAGAAGGTCGAAGAACCGGCTCCGGAAGTAGCTGCTGCCGCCTTGGTCGAGGAGCCACTGCCCTTGATCAGCTCGACCATCGGTTTCACCTTGGCCTTCAAGTCCTCGACCTTGTCCTTCTCCGACACGTCCACGTGAAGAAGAGCAGCGAGGCGTAACAAATCGGCCTTCAGCGTTGGCAATCCACCGCGAGGCCCGATCAAGGACCTCGCTGCTTCCATTCGGTCCGCCTCCTTCGCCGCTTCCTCCTGGGCCTCTTTCAACATCGAGGCTCGCACTCTGCTGGCCCGGCCTTTGCTCGAAGTCACCGCCAGCATTCCTTGAAGAAGAGGGTCCTCCAGGAAGGCAAAGCGAATCCCGAAGCGACCCCGAAACCATGTCATAGCCGACAACGTGCTCGCAGACCAGGTTGCTGTCTCCACCCAGCGGTGGGGAAAAGAGCCATTTGCCACCATGGTGGCAGCCTGAGCTCTCCACTGCGCCACCGAAGACACCGAGGGCCAAGGAAACGGCAAGAAGCGCAAGTCGGGCCGCTTTACCAAAGCCAACCTTAGCCCGTCTTTGGCCCAGTTCCACCTGGTCACGACACGAAGTATCATCCGACGCCATTGGCCGAGGACCTTGTCGAGAAAGTCGCCGCCTGCGCCGGGGAAGCCCGACCACTCGAAGCCAGGAGCGACCGTGGGGCGCGCACCGGCCGAAGCTGCGAAAGCCATCCTTCGAACAAACCGTCAGAGAGGAGGCACCTGAGGCAATCGGCACGGGCTTTGCCATCTCTTGGGCCAAGGTCAACAGCACGGAGTTATACTCAAAAGCAGTGCGGCCCAAGACAAGACTGGCTTCGGTCAGGTGGTGGTTGTGCGCACGACTCTCCATGGAAACCCTGGCACCACTCGAACGGCCTCTCATGAGATGCTTGGCCCAGCTTCGGCAACACAACATAGTCTCTAGCACCCCATCCGTTCCCAGGCGACGCCACTTAGGTTTTACCACCTGCGGCCAATCATCGGGCAGCAGAGGCAGGGCAAGGTGCCCGGCCGAAAGTTGAGTGAGAACTGCTGTGCGCTCGAAGGCTCGGCAGAGCAGGGTGCGGTCTGCAAAGTCAAGCACCCCGCCCAAGGCATCGAGAACATCACGGCCCAAAAGAAGCCCCAAGCTCGGCACGTCAACCGCCGAGATCCAGATCAAAACCAGCTCCTGGGCGATCACGGCCGGCACTCGCCACCTCGTGGCCGAAGGAAGCACAGCGCCATTCCTGAATATACTTTGGGGCGCTGGCCAGGGTGGCAATGTAGTTGTCGATCCAGCTCTGCCCTGCACAAGTACGGTTGCAGGCAGAGTCGAGGGCCCCGACCAAGGACTTATCCGCCCCGGCCGTCTGTGCTGCCAAGGCTTCGCGGTCCGAGCTCGCCGGCACAGCTCGCTCCGTAGACAGCCGAAAGGCCTGATCCAGCGAAAGGGTTGCCGAAGAGCTCGTCGAGGACAGTGCCGTCAGAACCTCGTTCGGGGCCGGCGGGATCGACTCGGTGTGGCTCACCTCGTTCTCGGGGATCGCCTCCACCAAACGGACATGCTTTGGCGGTCCTGGCTTGCCCTTGGCCCTGCCCAATCCCTGGCCGGGCTTCTGGCAGGCCTCATCGCCCGCCCAGTGTCCGCTGAGGCCGCAGTCAAAGCAAACATGTTTCCCGCTGGCCTTCTTGGCTGCTATGCTCGGGTTGCCCTTGCCACGGCCTTTGCCAGCAGAAGCTCCTCCAGCAGCCAGGGGACCACGAAAACCGCGGTCCTTCCTGATCTCCGCCAGCTTCACGCGAGCCTCCCTCATCGACACCAAGGCCTCAGCACTCGCCTCGATGCCGTTCTCAAGCGTCTCGAGCGCCATCGGGTCAACTCCTTCTTCCTCCGCCTGGGCAATCTCCTCGGCCAGGTTTTCCACCTCTGTCTGTAAAACCTCCTCCAGCGTCCTTTCCTCGTGCTCGCCCGTCGGCTCGTCAAGGGCCCCGTCGCCTTCAAAGTCTGCCTCCTCTTCAAGAAGGCCACCCTCATCACCGGCCGTCTCCGTGGCATGCACCTGCCGTTGGGGAAAGCGGGGACGACCAAGCTGACCTGCTGAGGAAGGCACCGAAGACAACGTAGACCGGCGACTCGAAGCACCACCATAGGAAGAAGACGCCGGGGGGGCCGTAGAGGAAGAAGCCGCCGAGGAGCCCGCCGCTGAGCCAAACATCCGGCGGACTGTCAGCCGCCCTTGCGCACGGTCGGCTTTGCGGAAGAGCGGGTCCTGAGTGTGCAAGTCACGGAAAAGGCGCAAACACTCAGCTTCGATCTGGTGGTAGTCCTCGGCTCCGGCCAGCGCTGTTTCCAACAATTGTTTGCGCAAGCCATCCAGACCAAGCTTCTCTTTATAAAACCATCCAACCTCAGGGTCTGGGAGCACCACTCCCTCGGCCTTCAGGTCCGCGATGGCAGTCCTGAAGCGGCTGCTGTAGTCGGAGACGCGCTCGCCGGCCTTCCGCATCATATGAATATAAAAGGCCGTCCTCAGCTCACCTCTTTTGTCCAGCGTGCTCTGGCCATTCATAGACTCGAGGGCTTTGAGAAGCTTGTTCAAGCCGAAGAACGGGTCGGCTGGAGAAACCTCAAAAGTTTCTCCCGTCTCTGGGTCCACGAACTCCTGGGCCGGCTGAAAGGCGAGGTCTTCTGGACTAAATTCCTCACCCCTCTGCCGCACTATCCCCGACTGTCTCAAGAGCCACCTGGCCGCCAGGTTGTACTTCATGGTGGAAGCCGAGTCCAAACTCGACATCCACCATGCCATCTCTCGGCGAAACGTCCTCCAGGAAAGAGGGGACCCGTCCCATGTTGGGACCCGGCCCCAAGCACCATAATCACCACTGCCTTTGCCATCATCGGCCATCACATGCAATGAGTGAAACGCCCTCAAAGACCACAATAACCCAGTGCCCCGCCGCCTGGAGGTCGCACCGAATCGTGTAATCGAACAGGAGGGCCTTGCAAAGCCAAAGGAAACGGAGTAAGCGGCGCAGGGTGTCCTCTCGTCACTCAAGCTCCGGTGCCACTGTTGAAACCACGCTCAGCTGCAGC